CACGACCAAGGGTCATTACACACGAGAGATATTTCATTGTACGATTTATTTATCGTACGAAAATATGATCACATGATATTTGAAATTTCATGTTTATAAATAAAGCTGTTCAGACGATCACAATAAAATGTTGTACGATAAGACAATTGCACAACGCCTCAAAAACTGTCGGATGTACTTTAATGTTCCAGATAATAAGAAAATCGTACGACTAAAATATTTCAATCAAAATGTACTAAAAATAACTGATTAGAACACACGAACGATAATTATCGTTTGATAAACCAAAAAAACAAATTCAGTACTATGTCATGCTCCTATGAATGTAACCGCTCTAGCGGATCGAATTCGCCATCGCCGAAAATTTGTAATGGTAATTTAAATATAGATATAGATGTACTTATAAGTGAAGTCCAATTAAGAGCCCTAATTTAGGATAACAGTGTGGATTATTATTCAGATAGAAATTTAAAAAGAGCGGCTCGGGAAGAAATATATGTCTTATTTTATCCATAATTTTTTATTAAAAAAAATAAAAAAGATTGTATCACAATCACTATATTTCCAGACGTGTGTTTTATGCAAATGTAGAACTAAAAATGTCTTAATAACCCGACAAACGTTGTTTTGTCATATAAATTATTTCTAGAGAATATTTTGCTAGAAAAATAACTAATTTAATGTAGATATGTAAGGATGTGGGTAAGGATAAGGATGTAAGGAAGAGGTATGGAGTACTATGAACAGGTCGAATTATAAAAATGAAAAAACATCAAACATTTATCCATTAAAATTATATATATAGCTAATTATGACAATATTAGTAAAAAACAATATATATCCCTTAATGCAATAGAGTGTACAATATTTTTTTTTATTCCATCTTTCACCAACACAAACTGAATGGTTCGAGAGCACACCACGTTTAATTGTCCGTGTGAAAAATATGATGTACTCAAATCTAAGCCACAGACAGACATCGTTTGGCCTTGAGACTTATTGATAGTCATTGCAAATGCCAATATAATTGGATCTTGAAGGCGTTTAAATTGTATTGGCACATCTGTGGGTATAATAGGGATTCGCGGTAATAATATATTTTCACCTCAGAATTTGCCATTTAAAATCATGGCTTCAATAACATTTTTCATTAATTTTTAATTAATGACTTATCGCGTGCCGTTGTACAACCGTAGTGGGTCAAATTACGAAGCAAAATAACCGGAGATCATACCTTCAATTGTGAATTATGCGGTGGCATGCCTGGTAAATCCAATGAGTTTAAAAAATTTTGTTGGATAATTTACAGCTTCAGTAGCATCGCAAACTATATTTATAGATTTGTATGAAACCAAGTCTCCTGGTAACAAATGTTGTATTTTGAGATTCAATTTGTTGACGTCCACATTTTTTGCTACTAAAATTGCTCTTTCTGCCAGCCACGACCAGCCAATACGACCGTTGACCGTGGTTAGCGATCACCCTTTCTATGTTTGTGATACTATTCGTATTGTTTGAATATTGTGACACCGTGCAGTGCAGTACAAATATCAGTCTTGTTAAGTACTTAAGTAAAAGTATTCGAATTCTATTCGTGTACTTAAATACGTATTTTCATTAGTTATGAAAAAAATACTTGGCCACAATGTTTTAAATACTTTCCCAGTGCATCTGCATTTAGAATTAAATACTATTTTCAAATACTTTTTTTACAAATCATATTTTAATTTCATCGCATTTAAATAATAATTTAGTTTACCAATTATTTATTTATACTAAAACAATAAGATTTATCAATCATTTAGCCGTGTCGTTTAAATATAATCAATATTTATAAGTGGCATATTATAAAAAATTGTCGCACAGACTTATTTCAGCGAATTCTATTATAAATAACAGAGCCAGAGAACCCTATTTATAATCTACAACATTATATACTATTATTACCATAATATACTACATGAATACCCATACGAATGAACAATTTCATTACAAAATTGAAAATTCGTTTTATTTTTATTTTTCAATTATATTTTACATTTTAATTCTAATTTATGGCCTATGGGAACTCTGAATTTTTTTTTTTTCATTGAATTCGTGTAAGACATGAATATATTTTAAAAATTTTTATATATTTTTTTTATAACTATAAGGTAAACAACGTTATGAAATTTATTGAGTATTTAAAAGTATCTGTATTTGTACTTGAATACTTTTCTTATCAAGTATTCAAATACGTTTTTTAAATACTTTTGAAAACAGGTAACTATATTTGTAATTGGATACTTTTTAAAAAGTATCTTTTAGAAGACTGACAAATACGAGGTGTTAAGTGAAAAGGCATTGAGAGTTCTACTTCCTTTTACTTCAACGTAGTTATTTAAAACTTCAGCATTCACTGAAACCAAGTCTAAATATCGAAATAGATTAAATTAAACACTAACACTAAGAGTTTCATTAACAAATCTTACTCCAGATATTGATAATATTTGCAGTCACATCTATCTAAATTAAGATTCATATTCTAATTTTATTTTTATTTTTGTTGTTATTGAAATCAATATAATATTACTTCTTGCTATGATATCGTAAAATCGGGCGACTTCAGACAATTTTTCATGTTTTTTCTAAAAATTATGATTTTATAATAAAGAAAAAATTTAAAAAAAAAAATTTATCATCTACACATATTATGTTATAATATGTGATGATTTAAACTATAATATAACAACATTAATGTACTTTTTTTAAAAGTTCAAAGTTGTCCAAAGTCATCCCATAAATTGGTCGACTTCGGACAATAATTTAAATTTTTAAAAAACATAACTACAGACTTCCTTATCTTTTTATTTTTTTTATCCTTCAAAATACATTAAATATAAAATATTTGAGAATTAAATTAACAAAATAAATGATAAATCAGAATTGAAAATTTGACTGGTTATCTTGTGTTATACGAATTAAATATTACCTTAAAAAAACTCTTTACAGTCTTTTTTTGTTTACTGCAGTCTTAAAATAAATTTTTTTTTTGGTAACCAAACATATCAAATTAATAAAATAAACTCAAAACATAACAAATCAACTAACACCAATTTACCTCGTATCAGTCAACTATTTTAGCAATTTAACTTGGTTTACTTCGACTTTTTGAAAACTATTAACAATATAAAATTAAATAAATAGGTAGATACAAAAAAAAAAAAACAACACTAAATAAATAGGTAACCTACCTATTCAATTTCAGAAGCATCAATATCGAAAATATATTTGTTTCGTTTTTGTTTACTCAATAGCTTGACTATTTTAACGACTTGGGTCACTTAAATCCGACTCTTATCGGCAACTATTGGGAACACAAATGTTGGAGGTCCAGTTAAAGAATTTTTTTTTCTTAAAAAAGTACTATCCGGAGTCAGCCCTCTTTTTGTCAATTTCTGCACTAAAATTCATAAAAATTATCATACGACATAAACCATTCTTCTTACATGCAATATTTGTTGAGAAATAGTTTATCTCGAAAACAAAAAAAAAAAACCATTACGATCGGAGTATTTGTTTCAGAGTCACAAGTGTTATTAGATGTGATAACAAAAACGGGGGAAAATCCATTGATTAAGAAAACTCGTGACCTCCATGTGCTCAGCGTTACACCGTTACGAAAGGTATCTCACATCCTTATACAGGTTGGTACCCGTAATGTACCTATAACAAAATATGATTTTATTGCAATCAACTAATCGTATGGTTTACTTAATCAATTGTTATCAAGTTGTCCGAAATCAACCCATGTGTCCAAAGTCGCCCGATTCTACGGTACCTTATGAATAAATAATTTAATTGCACTTTGTTGTATTTAGTATTTTAGTGTATTGTTAATGTTAACGTTTATGACCATGCTTTGTGTACTATCCTATTTTAAGATAATTTTCATAGGGGTTCCTATAAAAATATTATTATTTGGTGTTCCGTGATCTCAAAGAGTTTAAGAAACATTGAAATAAACTATATTAACGGTGGACGAAAATCATGTGTTGCAGAGTGCATTATTTTCCATGAACGGATATATTATTTTTATACATTTAATACACACTATATACATTTTGTTATTGCTTACGAGCTATAGATATTTGGCCTGTTTAAATATTCGGATTCTCCACACAGATATATATGCTCTTTTGTTTTTCAATTGATTAATTCTGTATTATTCGGATAATATGAGTGTGTAACTATTTTTATTTGTTATATTGATTGCAGGTTTCTTAAGGTTATAAAATAACGTACTGATCCACATCATCAATGTGTACCGATTAACTTACATAATACTATGTTATAATTAGAAAACGGATTTCAAACACACTTGAAATATGTTTCTAGGAATACTTTAATACGCTACAATGTATGTATTTATTTGCATATATGCACTTAAAATTTAATGTACCTACCTACATAATATTGAGATATTAATTTTATTCGACATTATGAAAAATTATTATGGAAAAATAGGTGGATGAAAACTTAATTTTTTATAGCTCTCGTAGTTATTTAATTGTCTTTATCAGTAATATTTTTAATTGTAAAAAAAGTAACCTTTAATATTTAATATTTTTCCTTTTACACATTCTCGTTAATTCTCATAAACTCACACGACGGTTGTCAAATTCGCTTTCAACGACTGACTTAACCTTACTTAATATTATCAAAAACATAACATGACAAATATATATATATATATATATATATTAGGGTGACAAGAAAAAAAAAATTTTTATTTTTCGATAGTCCCACCCGGTTAAATTATTCAAATATATAATAAGAAGGTTTACAAAAAAATTTCAAAGAAAAATTTTTATTTTTACTGGTCGCGCAACTTGTTTGAAAATATAATACATTTAACAAAATAATACAATATATAAAACATTATAATATGTAGTTAATTCCATTCTTTAAAGTCATAAATTATCATAATAATATTAAAAATTACATCTTACTAAAATATATCAAATATCGATCGTTGATTTATTTGGATTTGGATACTTCTGTCGGTGTTGTTCAACTACTTGCAAAAGATACTGCTTTTGATCTTCCTGATTGGTAAGTATCCCATTGAATGTTTGAATTAACGCAATTCCACGTTCAGCAGCATCATTAATAACTTTTAGATTTTGAACCCTTTTACGACCATCAACGAAATCTTTATTACTTCCCCAAGTACTTGGATGCTGATTTAAAAAATTCTGGGGTATATCCAAGGCCGTAAAAAACTTGAGGGTATTTTTAGAAACAAAATCACACAATTGCACTGTTTGAACTTCAGTCATCTTAATTGTAATACGCCGGAGAGGGAATTCAGCTCCTTTTTTTTCTAGTGATTTTACCATTCTTATTTTCATTTCAGGACACACTTTGTAGTCAAAAAAGGCTAAACCAATAAGTGTCTCACTTAAGTACCATAAATGTCTTGAGAAGCTTTTGATTGCGGCATCAGCTATTAATTTATTTGAATTTTTATAATGATCGAGTTCCTTTAAAAGATTTAGATCGTTGTTAGGAGCTAGTTCTCCACAAGAAGAAGTATACCAGTACTTTATATAAACTTTTACAACAAAAATATTAAAAGCCTGAAATGCAGATAATTCTCGAGCAGTCAGTTTAAACTGCGATCGATATAAGTAAATTTTCATGCTATAAATTAATTTCGCCATCCATCTAGCTCGATGTAAAGCTCCAGGGGTACGAATGGTAAAATCTTTAGCTGTTTCGTCTCCTAAGAATATAAGAGAAAGTTATAACATTTCTTTGTAGTCATCTCTAGGCTGAAATGTTGCTAGTTGGTCATTAATGAATTTGATAAGGACATTTTTTTGTGGATTTAATTCATTAGCGACTGTATCTTCAATAATTCCACTTTCGAACTTTGATGTGTCAATTTTGTTCCAGTTTTGTGAAAATCTTTGAAATATTTGGATATCGGGACCACTTGATGCTCCCATCAATGCATTAAACACTCTCTCAATAATGAGTTCTAATATATGGTGTCGACATGCCAAACTGAGAAGATCTCTTTTAATTTTTTTTTCAAGAAGTACACATGCACCGGTGTTTACTCCACTGTTACTCGCTGTTGTATCAAATGACATTAAATTAATGCGTTCGGTTAATTTCCAGTCTTCCAATAACTCAAACATTGCAGTTGCTTGGGCTTCTCCCGTTCCATTTGAAATTTTCGGCACACCAAGTAATTTCATAATACCATCCCCTGATACTATAACCGCTAGGCGATCAACTTTTTCTTTTGAAGTCAAAGCTGGAAGTAATTTTCCATCCCAATGTATTGTCAGTGGAGTAGTCGTGATGAATGAACTTCTTATTTCGTCTGATATTTTCTTTCGATATTCTCGACGACCTTGTCTAATTGACTCTCTATTAAGGGTATAGTTCTTTATATTATGCCCTAACGACTGCACAGTAGCCGATAAAACATACATTGCATTTCTGTCACTTACTTTTGTTCTATCTAAAGCTGATGCGACTTTAGAAGTAACTATATTGGTAGCTTTCAAAGAATTTACATTATTGGAGGTATTATTTTGTTTTAATCTTTTACTAGAGGGTACATACAACTCATCATCATTATCACTACTGCTGCAGTGTGAATCAGAACAATCAATATTATTATCATTAACTTTCGACATTTGTGTTTCTTCATTTATCCGTGCAATTTCCTTTTTTTTCCTCAATTCGTTTTGAAGCTGTCGTTCTTTGCTTCGCTCTTCTTTTTTGGAAAGTTTAGTGTCAATTGGGCCCATACTTCCACGCCTTCCTTTCTCTCTCTGAGCAAGAAGAAACTCTTTATCTTCATTTATTGTTATAAGAGTCAACGCATCTTTATGAGCAATATCAAATAAATTGTCAAAGTCACTGACGAATACAGATTCTATCTCTATTTGTCTTAGTGTTCGTCTTGAAGCACTTTTTTTGGTGTTCTGCCACTTACAGTGTATTTTTTTAATTTTTTCAATAATGTGACATTCTTTTTGGGTGGGGATTTTAGCTTTTTCCCAATAAGCACTAACTTCTCTTGCTGTAGTAGTAGCACTAGTTTGAATAGTTTTTTTTTCAATCGAGTGTAAATGAAAAAAATGGCGAAGTACTTGTTGATTGGATGGAAGTTTACAGCCAGTGATAGATTCAATTGTCCCTCCAATCAACCAAATTCCACGATCTTTAGTATAATTTTTTGCTGCAGTACTAATGCTAGCCATATTATTGTTATATTTAAAATATAATATATTTAGTGTATATTATATGTAATAAATATTTATGGCGTATAAACGGCACAACTTGCACTGTATTGATAATGTTATGTTATACGAGAATATTTACGACAAAATAATAATTTTGGTAACTTTAAAATCACGGGTTCCGTCGTACAGACAAACACATACTAACGAGTAATGAATAATGGCAAACGAATGAAGTGTAATCGACGTGTTTTTGTAGATAACGTGAGCACAATTGCAATATCGGTAGGTACTATTAATAAATTCGATAAATTACATGCGTTGCGCGACCTTTAAATATTAACCGAATGAGATAAATTTTTCACAAAGTTAATTTTATACTAAAAGGAACATTTAAGACGGGTGGGATAAAAGATATATTTAAGTTTAATTTTTTCTGTGGAAAATATTGTCACCCTAATATATATATATATATATACAGAGACAGTGTTACCACCATGCTTATAAAACATAGACGAATAATAAATTGCGTCGCCGACACCGAACAAATACTATAAATCGGAATCAGACCACAAATTAAAAAATCGAAAACAAAAATATACGCTATTAAATTACAAACATGTACTGAATATGTACAATCAGATTGAATGTTATTTTAATAATAATGATTTAAATAATGCACATTTTTTATCAGATTTGTAAATCATTCTGTATCTAACCTACCTTATAAATGTATCAATTTACAATGCATTCCTTAGTTATATGTAACTGCTGCACCGGTTGATGTGCCTTTAAATGTCCATTTGTAATATAAATGTATTAATGACGGCGTTCTGGATTAGCGGTTTAGCTACGTTTATCTTTGCGTGCGTCCAATTATACACGTTCAAAGCTGATACGCAAATAAAAATTAATCACATAAACGCGTTCCTATTCTAAATCGAGTTTTTTCAGCGAGTGGATCGCTGTGCGAACACCTGGGTCCTGCTGGCCGCCATTATTTGGCTATATTTTTCGGATAAGTAACGTGTACATCGAGGTGCATAACAACTTGAACCAGGGATGATCAACGTTTTTATCAAGGGATGCTGACTGTATTGAAGGAAAACTACTCCACTTCGGTAGGACCGGCCGGGGATAGATAAGCTCGAGATAAGTAAAATGAGATCTATAATAATATTTTTAAAATTTTTTTCTCCGAATCTGTATTACTATACGTGGCCGCAGTGCAAGAACAGATAAATAAATTAACGTTTCAGTCAAATCCAGTCGTACACATTAATCAAGATTCGCGTTGAAAAATTATATCTCGTTTAATGTGAAGTGTGAATGTGTTCATAAACGTTATTTATTTTCACATTTTTAATTTACAAAGTATTTTAACGTTATTTGATGTATATATGTATACAGTTTGAAATGTAGAACCGTTTTCAGATTTTTGGTGTTTGAAAATGTTTGGAAACTTGTTTCTCCGAACTCTTTGAACATATTTTAACAGGGCTTAAATCAAAAAAAAAAAAATTTAAAAAATATAGTTTTTGTTACTAGTTATTTTAAAGTTATCCAAGTCTTGTGTTTGTCGTTATTAGGAATTTAAACTTATTCAAGATTTGCGTTTAACAGGCACAGGTTAATTGTCATGTTAATACGTTAATCATAAATAATCTCATCATAAATATAAATTGAGTTGATCATTTACTCATTTTATCGTTTTTATCTACCAGTGATTTTATCAACTATTCGCCCATCCAATTTTACTTACAAGAAAATTACATCAGCGTATTATAATTTCCATACCACTGACTACTACACTAAACCATAGTCCACAAGTATAATAATTATAACGCGTATTAAAAAAAAAAAAACTACACAGTTCAAGACTTGAAATATTCATATTTTATATACTGTATGTCATATAGTCATCTTAAGATAATTTTTAAGAGTCAAATAACTAAAAAATATAAATAGCTAAATCAAATAAATAATTAGAAATCGGGATTCATATAACTTCATACCACTTTTAGTAATATAGCGAATACCAATTAGAAATGTATATGTATTTTATATCTATATATATATACACATACATACAGGTGCGGACTGGCTAATTTAGCCATGGGTGCAAAATTAATTAAGAGCCCGTACATATTTTTCAAATTATTTCTTAAATTTTTCGCCATATGCATTAGAAAAATTATTATATTTATCATTAGATTTCATTTTTATAAAAATAGAAAAAAATAAAAAAAATCCGCCTGTAGTAGTTCTTTGTAATTTACAGCCTGGAGTTAGTCCTGAATATGTGTACGGAGTATGAATCATACCAAGTGCAAATGTTGCACAATTGTGACGCTATTATATTTTATAATGATGAAAGCGGATCAAGCTCATCTCAAAGTGTGCAATTATTGGAGGATCAGAGTCAAACTATTTCCCAAAATGAACAGCAGTCATCAAAGTCGATCGAAATGGCCACTGAAACTAATGCTACTGTACTTGATGGAAATTTTTTTAAATTAATTTCTTCCGACTCTAAAAACGTGATAGCAAGTTGAATTAAATGTCAGTCAAAAAATGTTAACATTAAAGGATCTACATTTTCATCCTCAAATTTTAAATCACATTTAAAGAGGAAGCACGACAATTCTATTTTAGATGAATATGAAAAGTATATTAATGACACACGAATAAAAAAAAAAAATTGAATATTCCAATAATACGAACTGTAAAAATAAAACGAAATACTCTCAAAATTAATTTAACGAAGTTGTATTGAATTATATTATTCATTCAATGGCACCTCTCAATAATCAATTTATTCAAAAGTTAAATTATTAAGAATAATTTGTATTTTTATTCATTAGTTGAATTATTCAGAATAATTTTTTATTTTTTATTCACAACTCAGTGGCGTATTCACGGGGGGGGGGGGTTCATGGGGTTTGAACCCCCCTCATTGGCCGTATTTTTTTAAAATTATTTCAATAGTTTAATAATAATTGATAATTGATTTTATTAATTATAATTTAGTGATTTATACGTCATTAGTTACCAGTATCACGGTTATCAAGTTGGATTGGAGCACGACCATAGAACATGTTCTATGGCACGACCGCGCTATTAATTTAACAATTTGGTGACAATTTGTGATAATGTGGTTTTTTAAAACAGTACAAAATTTGTAATTATTATGACTATGGGGGGTGTGGGGGCAGAGCCACCCACTTTTTATTCTAGTAAATTTTCAGATCCCCCACCATTGAAAATTCCTGAGAACGCCACTGTCACAATCAAAACTATTTAAAATAAAATATTATACTTTATTCACAAAATAATTAGTTATTCATGCTTTTATTTTTTATTCATTAATTTGATTTGTTTTTGCCCAATTCTGCCACACACACATTAATAACCATTTACGACTAACACGTAGATCTCGG